GGTAACTCAGTCAAGTTACAGTGGTTCCAGCTCATTCCACTAGTGCTTAACTTAAAAGTGTCAAAATCGATCTATAGTTTTGCTCAAGCTGACCTGTAGAACACATTCTTGAAGCCTGGCCAATACTTCATGGAACATTCTGTACATGCTCCCAGAAACCATCTGTGGTTGGAGAATCTGCAATTGTTGAATACAGAAGTCTGTGAAAATAGGGATTCGGTGGTCCAGAGCCATAAATATTATCTAAATTGCTTATTCCGTTCATTAACCTTTAACATCTGAAGTGCACCGATCGGTACACTGATGAGTTTGGTAGTCATTGCCAAACTACCCCGATTTGTGCATTCAGGCATTTAAACATCGCTAGCAGAAGCAAGCGCACACGCCGCTAGTAAAGCATATGTACAATCCAAAATATTTATTTGTAATTGTAGTAAAATTCAGTATACATACATTTTTATCTGCTTGATGTATATAGAGGCTTCAACAACCGCATTATGTTAACTGCATCTCGCTTTTGTGCAATACTTCTTGAAGCACCGAGAAAGCACAGTCCCACACCACATATCTTGCATGTCAACTGCCTTTCAATTTCACCATCTTCCAAACGTTTCATTACCATTGTATGATAAAAGGACACTACAATATTCAAATTCACTGTGAACTCACTGTATGCACTCTGTATCTCAGCTGTGATGCATTTGTTTGCAACCATAAACAGGGCAATATACTCTTGCAGCTGCAATGGCAGGGCTTGGCACTGAATTAGGAAACAACGAATATTCCCTCTAGCCTTTCCTGAAAGGTCATGTTTTCACTTTTCTGTCCTTTAGTCAAAAGACTGGGATATCTGAGGGGTGTAACAAAGATTTGAAACTTGCCAGCAGAGAACCAAACGACTTTATTGCTTCCAGATGTTTTATGGCACCAGAGAATGTGAAAATATTTCAAGTGTTACAAGCAGGAGTGATTTTCTATGTGAAGAAGTGGGAAACTATTTTTACAGTACACATCAAAATTAGAAGAAAAAAAAATAAAAAATATTTTATATTATTTTGTCTACATATTTTCAAAGTTTGCGTTATAATATGCCACACTGTGTTGTTTGCTGATAAAAACAAAGTGACTTCCATTCATTTATCATAAAAATTGTGTTGGATATAGCATTTTCAAATACAGTGCAGCCGCCCTGACAGAAACAGACATTTAAACGCAGAGCAACAATGGGTATTAAAATAAATTCTGGCCAGGTCAAGCTACCACCATTTCAAAAGTCCAGCGTTTAAAGTTTAAACACAAAGGAAAACATAACAACATAAAAACAATGCAAGAGCAATAGCACACTGTGTAAAATAACATGTGGGAAAACAATAAAATGGTAACATACTAAAAAGCAATATTTTATTTACCACAAATCTTGATAGGTGTTGATGACTGATGAATCACAGGTACGACGACGATGAGGATGATGATGATGACGACAACGACAGAAGAAAGAGGAACTCTGTTGATTCCTTCTTCAAATTTCTTCAAGTCGTTAATTTTATGGGACTGTGATACTGACCACTATCTGGTGGTGGCATGTTTGAGAGACACTGACAGTGAGTAAACAAACAATGCAGGAATTTCGTACGGAGAAGTTCAGTCTCAAGAAATTGAACAAGGTAGACGATAAAGAACAGGATAAGGTTGAAATCTCAAATAGGTTTGTATCTTTGGAAAACTCTGACAAAGATGTGGATATTAATAGAACGTGGAAAACTATTACAGAGTATATAAAAATTTCTGCCAAAGACAGTCTAGGTTATTACAAATTGAAGAAGGATGTTGAAAGCTACTGTATCAAAGGAAAGAAGCGAAACTGCAATGGTTACAGGATTCAGGCCAAATAAATGGGGTTAACCTGAATGACGTAAGATGTGAAGCCAGTTGGAATTTCAGGAATAGAAGGGAATGTCTGAAAGAGAAAATTAATGAGCTTGTAACTCGCAGTAAGAACAAGAAAATGAGAAACCTGTATAGAGGAATAAATGAATTTAAGGAGGGTTACCAACCTTGAACTAACTTAGTATAGGATGTGGAAATACTACTACTCTCAGCTCTTGAAAGTAAGTGATGTTAGGCAGATATAAATACAACTGAGCCATTAGTGCCTGAACAGGGTCATTTTGAGGTTTAAATTTCTATTGCAAAGTTAAAAAAGTATAAATCGCCAAAAAATGATCAAATTCTGGCAGAATCAATTCAAGCAGTAGGTGAAGTATCACTGTCCTAGATCCTTAAACTGATTATTTGGATTAGGGAAGAATTGCCTGATCAGTGGAAGGAGTCTTATTATTTTATCACTTCACAAGCAGGATGATAAGAGTGACTGCAGTAATTATCAAGGAATATCACTCATCTTCATACAAAATTTTACACAGTATCCTGCACTCAAGATTAAGCCCAAATGTAGACGAAAACACTGGGGATCATCAGGGTGGGTTTCAACGCAACACATCAACTGCTGATCAAACTCTTCATGTTCATCTGATATTGGACAAAAAATGGGAGTACAATGAGACAGCTATTCATGGATTTCATGAAAGCCAATGATTCACTTAGGAAGGAAGTATTGTAGAGTTTGGGGTACCCAAGACACTAGTTAGGCTGATTAAAATGTGTTTAAATGAAACCCATAGTAAAGTCCCTATAGGTAAACACCTGTCTTATATGTTTCCTATTTAAAATGGTCTAAAACAAGGAGATGCTTTATTGCCATTGCTTGTCAACTTTGATTTAGAATATACCTTTAGGAAGGTCAGAAAAACTAGGTGGGACTGAAATTAAATGGGGCAAATCAACTGATGGTCCATGCCGATGATGTAATCTACTGAGAGATAACATAGATACCATAAAGAAAAACAGAGGAACTCTAATTGATGATAGTAAGGACGTTGGTCCAGAAGTAATAGCAGAGAAAACTGAAAATGTTGCTGTCTCATCACCAGAATGCATGCCAAAATTGTATGATAAAGATCCTTTGAAAATGTGGCATCGTTAAGATATTTGGGAAGGACAAGAACAAATCAAACTTTGATCTTTGAGGAAATTAAGAGGACACTAAATTCAGGCAATGCTACCATTCAGTCCAGAACCTTTTGTTTTCTCATTTGCTGTCTAAAAATGTAAGAACTTGAATTTTCAAAACTGTAACTTTGCCTCTGGTTTTGTTTGGGTGTGAAATTTGGTCTCTGACATTAAGGGAGGAACACAGACTTAGGGTGTTTGAGAAAAGGGTGCTAAGGAGATTATTTGGACTGAAGAGGGATGAAGTGATAGGGGGTTGGAGAAAACTGCATAATGAGGAGCTTTGTAACTTGTACTCTTTGCCTAATGTAATTAGAATGATCAAGGTAAGGAGGATGAGATTGGCAGGGCATGTAGAGCCAATTATGGGAGAAGAGGAATTCATGCCTGCCTCCAAACATGAACTCGACTGCTCACCATGAAGTCACATTGCGACTGACGGTCGGTCAGTCAGTCAGTCAGTCAGTCAGTCCTGGTGTTGAACCCAATCTGACCAGATATTTATTATTGTGTGACAGTTACGGTCTTACTTTTTGTGGGGTGTCTTTTATATATGCTGTTGGCCCTTGCCAGCGCAGTCTTTCTTGGGTCCAAGTCCCTCGGTATTTGCGACCATATTTTACTGTCTCAGATTGGAGACTTCCCTTTTCATCATCTCCTATGACTCACAGGGTCACAGTGGAAGTATTCAACCCTGCCTCCACACAGGTTAAGTTCACTGCTCACCATGGGTTTTGGCTATGCAGATAGAGCCTCAGGGCAGACCCCACAAAAAGCACATTTCCTTGCAGCTGCAATGTTGCAGAGTGATGCAGCTGCCACAGCGGACTGCAAAGAAATCACAGCTTCCAACAGATCTTCTATTGTTGCGCGAGTCTGTTTTGGAGATCGCACTATAGATAGTGCATCATTGCCTAGAAACAAGCATGTCTGTATAGCTGTTCCCTAGCAACGGCTGTCTGCCGGCTTCCAAGTTCTGGCTTTCGGCACACATGCCAGAATATTACCGGGATGGAGCCCAATGTGCATGAATGCGTTTCTGAGTTCAAGAGAGGATTCTGGAAAAATTTCATAAATCAGACTTGAACAAGAACTTTCTTTAGTAGACCAGAATTTTCAGTGTAATAATTTATAACACTAGCCACTTTATCATAATACACAGAACTGTTGTACCATACTTACCCAGATTGGAGATGATTCTGATTATAGGACTACCCAATACTAGGAAACACATCTGCACAGAAAAATTAATTTTATGAATTAACTTCATACTCTAGTAAACATTCAAAAGTAAATAAAAATTAGAAAACATGTTATATGTGACACTGAGTCACTTGCCTTGTAGAAGTCACTAACCTTTATGCAGTTTCATCAGTCTCATTCTATTCACAATTCCTATTGCCTGTCTCAGCTTCAGTGTCTTTACAATTACCATTCTCTGCCAACATTCCTAACTCCTTCCTTGCCCTCCTTTCTATCCATTTCACATCGACTCAACATTAGCAGCACTTGCTCTCGCTGGTTCCTCGCTTGCGGATTTTCTTTTTTCTTCTACCGTGACGATGGAGGTGATACATTCCTCCGAAATATCAGTTACCACAATATCTACACGGTGCCACATCCCAGAAGACGGCTTTCTTCATAGTCACCACCGTGAAAACCTCAAATATTATATATCCTGGCATTTGCCTAGAGTGAATGAGGAAAACCATGAGAAACCTCTCGCAGGATAGCTGTGTCCCAGTTGAGAATCAATCTGAGCACCTTCTGAATACAAGCCTTGAGCATTATCTCTAGACCAAACTGTTTGGTCCCGAAAAGCTGTCACACATTTTTTGTGTGCCTTTTTAATTACTAGCAAACAGCATCATGCATCTCCTGAAGATACAATTAACTGGCCACAAGTATCCTACATTTTAGAAACTCAGCCATTTACTTATTTATAAAACATTCTTTATTGTAACAGACATACACTACTAAGCAAAACCTTCCAAAGTTATCACTTAAACTATTTTTCTTACATCTTTACAATCTGAATGTAGTTAATGTTTTGCCTTGTGATATATTCTCCACATTAAGTGGTTCTTAGCAGCTGTTATCTTCTATGACAACTGAAAAGATTACAATTTTATACCTTCTACTATGTATGCTAATTATAACAATCATATTTTAATTTTTAAAATTAGGATGTATTTTAAAAATGTACCTAATAATGACACAATATTTAATGATGTATAATGACTTATAAGTCATTACGCCAGAGAAAACACAAAAAATCTTGGCAGTAATTCATTTTAAGGACAACTTTCTATAAATGTGGTAACATACACTCTATCACAACAAATAACCACATTCTCCCAATTTTATGTGCATGTAGGTCGTCTTTTAGGAACACATTTCTTGCTACTATACAACAAATTCTTGCATTTGTTTAATAAAACAAACTTCACAATTTGGCTTAATCCTTCTTGGCATCTGAAAGAGCTGCAACTCCAGGTAAGACTTTCCCTGTAAAAAAACAGGAGCTTATATGCATTATGACTCTTTTGGGAAATCTGGCTGTTCTAGCTTGAAGCAAGCAATCTGAGACCCTTCCACAAATTGCTGGGCCAGTCCAGTCGAAAGACATGCACTCCTGATATAAATTCTTTCTACGTGCATTTGGACCCACAGTGCAATCAACAAGGCCACATGCCAACAGCTCACCAACAAAGCCCCCTAATCATAGCAGATTCCAGATATACTCTATGCATCCAGATACCTTCATAAAAATGTTCACTCATGCACAGAGGTTCACTTTCTGAAACTATAAACCTAAAACTTTGAACTAAAGTCTCCTGTCCAAGGTATCTAAACAATTTTTTAAAAAGAATGTTCAAACTTAACATGGCTTAAGCACAAAAGATCATTAAAGGTTGCAGTGCTAGGGCCAATTTTATAGCCTGCCCCTCATACTCATATTAACATGGCTTTCATCTTCCACGACCCCGTCAAAATTTATTTATGACTGTTATGAACAGTTTCTCTATTCTGAACTGCAAACATCTTAAAATTTATGCTGGAATGTCTCCTGACTTTCCATATTGATACTGTATATGAACATTCATGTCAATGTGTAACTCTAATATGGCATGCTGACACAAGTAATGCAAATGACTGCTTAATACAGTGGTAGGGCCAGGGATTGTGGCTGGCAGAAACGTAACACATAAGCTTGCTTCACAGTGGCTGTTCAGTGATTTACAAGGGTGACAGTGAAGACAAACTGTAATGCGTACAGGGTTAATGGCCTGTCAACAATACCACAAGTTGGAATGTGTATGGAAACAGGTGATGAAAGGAAAGGAGCAGCTCTTCCACCAGACAGGCTAAACAATTTGTAGCAGGCTCTCAGCCTACACAAGCCAATTATAAGGGCATGTTATGAAAGGTGTTCCATATACTATACTGCCATGTTACCATCAAAGATGACAGTCTCTTGAAGATACCTACAAGAACTTCTACTTTTTGCGTGATGGGCAACCAGAAGTTCATAATTTATAGCAGGCCCTGTATGACGATGATGATATTAAAAGAACATAGAAATTGAAATAGATTACAGACAGCTTTGCAGTGTGTTCTCATATCAAGACATTCTCCAAAACACTGTTTTGGCACACAATCTAAAATCTTCCTATGGAATAAGTCATTTTCTTATAAAATAAATCTTCCTAAGGAAGCAGGATTTTTCTTAGTGAATGTCACCATTATTTAGATTTTAACCTCTCAAGTCATGTGACAACACATTTCTTCTGGCAACATGTTGAAATCAGGATCAAATGATAAATTAGCAATTAGCAGATAATCATACACATGCAGATTTGTTAAGCATCCATCTGTATTTTGACTCCATAAACCACATGCATGAAAACAATAGCCAGCTGAGTCAGGCTGATCCAAAGGAGTAATGTTTTTACTGGAAAGATACTGAGATGAACATATAATTTATACCATTCAGAAAAAGAGGAATACTGATACAAACATACAACAAGGTCTCTCACCTTCCAGTAACTCCAGACTGGCACCTCCTCCTGTGCTGACATGGCTGACTTTGTCTTCAGTTCCCCATTTGGCACAGCAAGTGGCAGTGTCTCCACCACCGATGATTGTTACTGTTCCCTTAGCAGTAGCACCAACTACATTATCCATCACAGACTTTGTCCCATTTGCAAAGTTGGCAAACTCAAAAACACCCATTGGTCTAATTTCAAAGGAAAGATAAATCAGCATGTAAAATATATTTCTTTTCACTTGCCACTTCACTTTCTACCTGAAGTTTTATGAAAGTAATAATGATTAACTTGACAAAATAGGAGTGCATCGATGAGGGGTGAAGTAACAGTCGCATTTATTTATGGTGTTACCACCTCAGTGCCTTCAAACATTTAAAAAAAAAAAAAAAGCAGCAAAGCTTCATAGGCTACAGGGATGATGAGGGCATAAGCCCACAGATATACAGAAAATCAAGACTGAAACAATTTACTGAAAAGGGTGGGTACACAAATGATTCAAGAATATTAATTATGCAAGTAAATGTATGATAATAAAGAGTATCGCCTTCTGGAATTTAACCCATGTAGTTTGGACAGAGCCCGATATTTCAGAATAACATTCCCTCAAACAACAGGATCAAAGAGTACTAATCAGCCCTGTCAGCACTCTTAGTCTTCCTTGGTATTATCTGCTGCCTCTTCCCCTGGCATCATACATGTAACTTCTTTACAATCCAAATTCACTTTGTTGTTATGAAAACGCCCTTTTTAGGTCCCAACCAAGGTACCATTTCCACTGTTCTCATTGACAGATAATCATCATTCTTCCATCCGTTCTCTCACATTTCATTTCAGGTTTGGACTGGGTTATATTACACTGGATCTTCTACGAGGGTTGGAACTATAATAGTGGCAACTATTTATTTATAACTGATACAAAATAGATGCATGTTTCGAAGTTTTACTGTCATTCAATGTAGTCACCAGTATTGTGTACAACACGTTGCCAATGATGTGGAAGTCGTAGGATACCTTTAGCAGTGCCTGTTGTGTTGACAGTTTGAATGGAGCAGTCTACTGCCTGAAGAATCTCTGGAACAGTTCTGAAGTGAATGCCACAAAATGGTTCCTGCATCTTAGCAATCAAGTCTAAGTCACAACGGCTTAAGTCCAGGGAGTATGGTGGATGGTACAGCACTTCCCAGCCCCATCGATCGAACATATCAGCCACAGCTTGCGCTGCATGCGGCTGAGCATTGTCCTGCAAAATGATGGGTGGGTTCCACAGAAAGTGTTGCCGCTTCTTTCTCAAAGCTGGTCGCAGGTTGTGTTCCGAAAATGAACAGTAATATCGCGCACTGACGGTCTGCTGTCGGGGAACGGTATGCGTTAGGATAACACCATCACAGTCATACACGAGAATCACCGTAACTTTCACATTGCTGGGGTTCTGACGAACTTTTGTGTTTCGTGGTGACCTGTAACGATGTCATTCATTCAATTGGCGTTTCATTTGTGGCTCGTACAATTTGGCCCATGTCTCATAATGATATGGCGTAAGAAAGCCTCTCCTTCGTGCTTATAGCGCTCCAAGTGGTTACGAGCAGCGTTGTATCATAGCCATTTCTGCATTTCCGTTAAATCATGCGGAACCTATCATGATGCAATTTTTCTCATGCCCAGGCATTCCTTCAGAATGTGAAGCACAGTCGCATGCACTAATCCTGTCTCTTGGGCCAGCTCACAAATCATATGGCGTCAATCACGCTCCAGTAATGTGGAAAGAGTATACACTTCTTCACTGACACTAGGATGACCTGACCAACGCATGTCTGCCACATTTTGGCATCCCTCGTTGAATGCTTTTACCCACCTTGCCACTGTTCTGTAAGGCAATGCAGATTCCCCACAAGCCTCTTGAAGACCTTGATGACACTGTCGTGCTGTACGGCCTCTGGCACATTCAATCTTTATCCAACTCTGTTGTTCCTGTATCAAAAACTTCGTGACAACATTACAGTAGACCGCCAGCTAACACGAGGCTCTGTTCTTCTCGTCACTGTGCATGCGTGTGATGTGGGAAGGGAGAGTCCATTTGCTCTGAGGTAAGCTAGGTATGTAACTAACGTGTGGTATAAGCGACATTATTTGGTTCCGTTACATGGAGTCTCTACAGCAGTGTTGCCACTATTAAAGTTCCAACCCTCGTACATGCAGTTTGTAAACTTGCTGCCTGTTCTGGCTGTTTCTTGCTTGACTTACTGTTTGAACCTTAAGATGGAAGCACATGTTGCTCAAAAACACAAGGCTCTCTCTGAGTCATAAAGCTTTACAACCAAGAAGAACATAATCCTCATAGTCAGGACTGTGACAACCTCAAATACAAAATGTTGTGCATGTACAAGAACACAGCAGAGAAGCAGTTTGAAAACTGTAGCCAGTTAAGTACTGTTGAAAATTGATTTAAATTGGAACAATAACTAAAAAGGCTTACTTCCTCACTCTGTGCTGGGTAAGATATGAAGCTATCGCACACCTCAAGAGATGGTGACAGATGAGTATGAGGCAACGGTAGAATGTTGATTAGGAGGGGGAAACTAAAGAAACTTAAAAGAGAAAAACCTCAATCACACACCTCACATGAAGTCACCCGGGACTGAACCTGAGATTCTACTGCAAGAAGCCAGTGTCTAACTGGATGAGCTATGGTAGGCCTGTCCAATGCCCCTATGGGTCAAGAGTTGGGGCAATTCATGGTCATGCCCTCTGGCCTCTGCAACACCCCAGATATTCAAGCAGTTCATCAACAACATCTTACGGGGCCTCGTGAGTCATGCTTAATATATTTCAATGACGTGACTGTGGTTGGCCAAACCTCAAAGGGGCTAGGATCATGTACTTTCTATCTGCCTAACATCACTGACCTTATGCACATTCAGTAACTGAGAGAACAACATGCATATGCATATCACTGTGCTAAAATTTTCTCAGGTGATCAGCCATGTCAATGTTGAATTAAAAACCAATGTTTCAGAGATATCCTCAATCTCCATCATCAGGATCAACATCAACCCTAACAGTGGAGACATATTTCTGAAACTTATATCATGCTGTCAGCACATCAAGTAGGAGAAAGAAATATGTTTCAATGTCAGATGCCACAAGCATCTCACAAGTATTTTCTGAAGTAACAATGAAGCTCTGAAATGAAAGCAATAATTCACCAATGAGAGGTATTACAGCAAGGGTGATGAAGTTTGGAATGATGAAGATGGTAATAAAATCGCTTTTCGTGTGCAGACATCTTTCATTTGTGTAAATACAGCTTAAACTCTTACCCATTCCAAACTATGACCTTTGCTCTTTCTATTGGTTCTTGGAAGAGTTCTCTGGTCTTGGGTCCAATATCCAAACCCATCCAACCCTCAGGTATACCAGCCTCCAAAGAACCAGTTCCAACAGCTGCATCTTCTGCAAATTTATCTGCTGTTATAAAATCAATTGGGAGATGAATCTGCACATTGTTTGCTTTAGCTTTGTCCATCAATTTCTGCACAATTTTAGCACCTTCTGCATCATAGAGTGAAGTCCCAATCTGAAAAAAATTAATTTAATTTTACAAACAAACAGTTATGTGATCTACTGCACATTCAGTAAGTCCAGACCTGATCTGTAACTTGTACAAAGCAGTGACAACATGTGCATATTTGATCGATTCTGGCAACCTGAGGACAATAACAGCATGAAATTCAGTGAAGGCTAACAAAAATACGTCTACCCATGATTTAAGTTTAGAGTTGAATTGTACGATCTTCTGGGAGGAGGCGCTGTGTAGTCTGGTAGATTACATAGGCTTTCTGAAGGAATATACTGCCTCCTTCTTCAGGGTCACAAGATATATTCAGCAAGCATGTAAACAAAGACACTGCGACACACTCAAGAAACTGCGTTGTGCGATTCCAAACAAGTGATGTGGCATGTTATGCTTCATGACAATGCCCAAACACACACTGCTGTCACAACACAAGATCTCATTGTGATATTTGGCTAGGAACAATTCGATCATCTCTTCTACAGCCCAGCCTTAGTGCCCAGTGATTTTCATGTATTCCTGCATCTGAAAACGTTCCTTGGTGGCCAGCAGTTCCACGATGACAAGGCCAAANTGATTTTGGCAACCTGAGGACAATAACAGCATGAAATTCACTGAAGGCTAACAAAAATATGTCTACCCATGATTTAAGTTTAGAGTTAAATTGTATGATCTTCTGGGAGGAGGCACTGTGTAGTCTGGTAGATTACATAGGCTTTCTGAAGGAATATACTGCCTCCTTCTTCAGGGTCGCAAGATATATTCAGCAAGCATGTAAACAAAGACACTGCGACACACTCAAGAAACTGCCTTGTGCGATTCCAAACAAGTGATGTGGCATGTAATGCTTCATGACAATGCCCAAACACACACTGCCGTCACAACACAAGATCTCATTGTGATATCTGGCTGGGAACAATTCGATCATCTCTTCTACAGCCCAGCCTTAGTGCCCAGTGATTTTCATGTATTCCTGCATCTGAAAACTTTCCTTGGTGGCCAGCAGTTCCACGATGACGAGGCCAAAGAAGCCATTAACACATGGTTTGCACCTGNTGTGGAGCACCTTCAATGTCCTCCTTGTCATCATGAAATACAGCATACCATTGAAAAATGTTCAAGCAACTCAAACAATCACNCAGGCAGCATCATTCTATGATGCAGGATTACAAAATCTGGTGCCCCACTATGACAAGTGCCGCAAAAATGGCGGGAAATATGTCAGAAAGTAATCTATGGTACATATATCAAATGTCAATATACACAGTGTGTCAAGGTTCTGTTAGGACTGTGTTCATTAAAAATACAAGACGTGAATTATTTTCAAAATTTCACTCTTTTTATTCAAAACAGTCCCCTTCTGAATCAATACATTGCTGGAATCGATTGAAAAGTTTTTGAAAACAGTCAGTGTACTCCTTTTGTGGAATCGCATTTAAAACTGCGGTACATTCCCTTTGGATGTCCTGGATGGTGTCGTAACGGTTTCCTTTCATTGCCAGATTAACTTTATTTGGGAACAACCAGAAATCTGCTGGAGCCAAATCTGGTGAATATGGAGGATGATCAAGGACTATGATCCATTCCTGGCCAAAAAATCGCGCACAATCTTCAATTTGTGGAGTGGGGCACTGTCGTGGAGGAGCGACCAGAAACCTTGCTCTCGATATTCAGGTCAAATTCAAAGAATTCTCGTCCACAAACAATTGAGGACTCTGAGATAATAATCAGAATTCACTGTTTGACCTTCTGGCAGAAATTCCTTGTGAATGATTCCTCTGGAATCGAATTGAAGAAAACGGTTAGCAGTGTCTTTACTCAACTCTTCTGCATGCGCACTTTTTTTGGTTTTGGCTTCTTTGGGCTCAACCACACTGCTATCTGCCACTTTGTGAGAGGCTCATATTGAAAACACCATGTCTCATCACCAGTAACAATCAATTTTGTAAATTTTGTATCACTTTCGGCCGACTGTAACATGTCTTTGCAGTGTTCCACTCTGGCATGTACTTTTTGGTATTCCCAAAAGCTCCTCGATGAGTCTTGCGGAAACATATCTGTCTGATGCAAGGATTTTGGTCACTTTTTTCACATTTTCTTCAGTGCGACTTGTTCTCAGTTTTGATGCATGTGGAGCATCTTCAATGTCCTCCTTGTCATCATGAAATACAGCATACCATTGAAAAATGTTCAAGCAACTCAAACAATCACTACCATACACACTTCTCATTTTGTATGCTTCTCCAGCTGTTTTGCCTAACTTCAAACAAAATTTGATGTTGGCTCTCTGTCCAACCGCCATTTTCCGATGAGCGTTACATTCTAGGTCAGAACACATGATGCAGTGATGCTTACGCTTTGAAATTATACACAGCCACAGCTGAAACTTCCAGAATCTTAATGCCACAACTCACCAACAGATGGCATTGCAGGCNTGCTGGAATCGATTGAAAAGTTTTTGAAAACAGTCAGTGTACTCCTTTTGTGGAATCGCATTTAAAACTGCGGNATGAGTACATCGAAATACCAGCTAGGTGTCCCGCCACACACCCTTCTTGAATCAGTGTGGCAAGTGGTGTCGAGTTGNGATTAACTTTATTTGGGAACAACCAGAAATCTGCTGGAGCCAAATCTGGTGAATATGGAGGATGATCAAGGACTATGATCCTTTCCTGGCCAAAAAATCGCGCACAATCTTCAATTTGTGGAGTGGGGCACTGTCGTGGAGGAGCGACCAGAAACCTTGCTCTCGATATTCAGGTCAAATTCAAAGAATTCTCGTCCACAAACAATTGAGGACTCTGAGATAATAATCAGAATTCACTGTTNGCTTAAAAAATGGCCGAACATCGACTGATGATGACGATCATTCGGTATGGCCGTCAACTGGCACCACACCAGAAAATGTCATGAAAGTTAGGGATCTGATTCTGCAAGATCGTAGGCTGATCATCCATGACCTCTGTAACACTTTCGGACTAAGTTATGGTACATGTCAACTAATTTTGTCAGAGGAACTGAACATGAGGAGGATTACGGGGA